GGGATCCCCTCCCAATTCACCTCTTCCCTTCCCAGTCAAACTATAGTTAATTTCTGCCAATTTGCGCTCACATCCCCCAAGCTACTCAGCCATGTAACCCCTAAAACCACGTCTGCCCCTCCTAATTCAAAAGGGAAAAACCTGCTGTATTTCGATTCCTTGCAGTTTCAACCTCACTGCCTTACAAATCCCCTTTCCCCTAATGGTACATCCATCCCCAACCATTACTCCAAAAGCTTCCCTTCATCCACCTTCAGCCCTAACTTTTGTACGACCCATGGGACAAAATTGTGGGAAGCCCACTATCCACCAAAACCACCACCCTTTCATTCCCAATCTCCCCTTGTAATTTCAAGGTTTTTCCCGAAGAAATACCCACATGGAGTTCATCGAAAGGGCTAGAGATTTACCTTCACCGTGGGTTTCTTCGTCGTTTCGTTTCATTTCCTGTGGATGTGCGTCGTCGTCATCCAAGAGTAACAACACCTGCAGAAACTTGTTTTTACTTCGGTGTTTGGTCCATACTTTCGTCACAGCGGTAACAGAGCCCACGCTCTGCTATACTGCAGATCAACGTCAGAAAGCCGCCGGAAATTACAGATCGGTTGACGGAACCCACAGACTCAGTCGATTCTCTTTTCGTTCGGTGGTTTTGTTGAAATTTGACGTTAACGATGACAGGTCTGGTGGTCTTTCACTGAAGGTCGACCAATTTGTTCTTGTGATTGGGTTTGGGCTGACCCGTGAATAAGGCTCCCCACGACCCATTATGTTCCTAAATGGTTTGGGCTTTGTTTATCCAATATTAATTCTCTCCTCAATCCTGTGGGCTTGATCTATCAGCCCAAATAAAGTATTTGGCTGAGACAGACGAAGCTCAGCTTTTATGTCTTCTTTTAAGCATTCGCGAAAATTCCTTGAGCATTTCATCACCCAGGTCCTTCAAGGTGCTGCACTAGATTCGAATTGTTCCTATATTCGGTAACTGTCCCTTCTTGTTTCAAGGCCACTAAAGCCTCATATGTGCTGATCCTTTAAAAGATGGTCGAAATCGGTCGATCAAGGCTGTTTTGAAGGTTTCCCACGAATGAAAGGTGCTCTGGATTCGACCCATTGATACAGCTTAAAGCTCTTCCCTCCATGCAAACTGCTGCTGCTTCCACCATTTCTGTCTCTTGGAAATGATTGATGGTGAAGTAGCGATTGCCTGCTGAAAGACCATCCAAATGGATCCTCTCCATTAAAGGGGTAGCTCCAGTTCCGGTTGTTTCTTTTTCGTCTTCCACTGTCTTCACGTTCTGACTCTTATCTTACTAGCACTCTGGTTCTCTGCCGATGAAGAAGTCTTTTCTCGTTCTTGTTCTCTCCTTCCTTCCTCTCTTCTCTCATGGCATTAACTCCCTCATTTCTGTCAAATATTCTTTCACACTACCCATGTCAATTTTCAAGGATCCTATGTCTTTCTTTCTGTATCATCTCCTCTCCACCTTATCCATCCTAGGTTCATTTGGATTTAACCATTCCCCAACTTGGCTTGATACCAATTGATACAACCACCTGCAGATAAATCAAACAACTCCCAATAGTAATAATTCTACACAAATCAGTCAACACACAATCAATCACAACTCAAGACACAAATGAACCCGCACTACTTTTATTAAACAGAAGAAATGGATGAAAATAGAACAGATGAGCATTAGAATATCCTAACACCTGGCGTTTCGAGGAGAGCCAGGAGCCTCCACTGTTTATCAACCCAAAATCAATAGTATCTTTTCACTACAACCTCCCTGAATATATACTAATTCCCTTTTTCCACAATTACCCTTACTCACACAATTTGTATTCTCCAAAACTGAATCACCCCCAATGACACCTGTACTTTGTGGTCCCTTTCCTTAACAACCTTTCTCATGCTTTTACGCCCTTAAGGGTGTAGACTTTATGCACTGCGGCATCAGAGACATGCCTGATCTCTATCAAACATATAAGAGGTAAGTTGTTGATTTTACCCATGAAAGTTGAGGATTAACCCAAAGGGTTGGCCTGACGGTCAAGGAGGTTTGCTATTCTTGAGTTTTTGGGTTTAAACCTTGAGCACTTACCACAATAACATTGTGGTTACCTATCCTTTGCTTGTAGATTGTTCAATGGACCTGGGATTAGTTGAGGTGCGCGAAGCTGCTAGACAACCGGTTATAAAAAAAAAAAAAAAAAAATGTTGAGGACTGAACAAAAATCTATAAACATTTTATTCAGCCCCTCCCAGATTTCATTAGGGCCAGAAATCCCAGAAGATCCCCATCTAGTGGCCTTAAGAACAAGAGAAAACTTGGAAAGCCAACACCCCATAAGAAGAGAGGTTAATAAACCCAAAAAAAGTTCTTTAGGAACATAACTCTCATATTGTAGAATTGGGACACAACAAAAGGGTTTTCCACTTATTTGAGGGGAGTGTAGGAAGAGGAGAGCAACAATGGTAATTATTTATTTTTGTAATTTGTTTGAACTTTGGTATCAATAATATTGTATTGGAAACTAATCCGGTTATATTTAATTTATGCAGAAAAATAAGGTCAAACATCTCATCTAGTGAGTCAATGGCACCTCAGATGAACCTGCAAGTGAACATGCTAATGAACCTGCCAGTTTTGATTTAGACAGTATTGATGTATGCTCTTGTAAACACATTTCAAATTCAGTTTAAGTTTCTGTTTACAAATGACTAAACCTTTTCTTTGTCATGTTACATTTTACTTTAGGACTGGTATAACTCGATGTGGGGATAATATGATAGCATTAAAACAGCAAAACTCTCAACCGGTTAGGCCTTCACAGGTGAATTTTTTATGAACTGTGTTATTTGTATGATAGTTATCTCAGAGGATATAATAGATTTTATGGAATCCTTTTTTTTTTTTTTTTTTTTTTTTTGGTGGAAACTAATTGGAACTGTTTCATTATATATATATATATATATATATTTTTTTTTTTTTCTTTTGCAGCCTTCTTCTGATTAGCTTGAACCCATTTGCAAGTGACTTTTTGGGGAGCATTTTTGTCAAAAGCTTGAAGCATTTGCAGTAAGCTTTTGTGCAGGCTGCTTATTATTAGGTTGAACATATTTGTAGTAACCTTTTGTGTATGTATTGTGGTGTCCACAGCTGATCAATTCATTGGGCATTATGTTTGTGCAATGATTTTTGATCATATAATTGGGAAATTGATATATAATGATAACAAATACTCAAATGTTTTTGAGAAGGATTTGATATTGTTATAATGGTTCTTAATTCCATATATTTTCAAAACCAACTGAACTGCATATTGCCTCCTGAAATTGACTGCGCAGATGTGTTTGTGAGGGAGCTGGAGTTTGGAGTTGGTATACATGGTTGATGGAGAAAAAAAATGGTGCCATGCTATTTGTAAAAAAAATTGTGTGTAATGGCCGATTGTGTGTAAATAACATATTAGCATAGCACCATTTTTAATGTTTAAAAGGTTATTTTAGTCATAACAAAGATTGAATAAAAATAATAAAATATTACTAACATTTATCCAAACTTGATACCTTTTTACATCAACTTTCAGGAGGCGTTTGGTTGGGAGTAATGTAGGATTACTGGAGTTATATTATCTTAAATTACTTGATTATCACGTTTGGTTGTCAAATAATATAAAATTCCGGTAATTTTTAAATACTAATAGTAGTTATTGTTGGTAATATTATAGGTAATCTGATTATCTTTATTTTTTTAGGTATTCTAAGATTATCAAAGTAATCTTTTTTTGTTACAATTCTATCTCTTATTAATAAAATTTTAGGACAATAATACTTTCATTTTTAAATTTATTTACATGAATATAGTTTTTACTATTTCACCCCAATTAATTAACTTTTTGGACAAAATTACCTTTGAATTCAAAACAAATTGTAGCCCACCCAAGCCACCGCCCCCACCCACCTGCCGCCGGCAACCATCGCTGCAGTCAGTTGTTGCCGTCGTTGGAACGATGTACGGAAGGCCGAAAATGGCCGTCGTGCACCGATATGGCCATTTCCGGCCAGATATCTAGCCGTCAAAGGACAGATATGTTGCGTCTAGATAATTTCGGCTAGATCTCTGGTCGGAAATGGCCATACGGCGCACGGAGGCATTTCCTGCCTTCCGTGCGCCATTAGGTTGCCGGCGGCCTGCGATGGTTGCCAACGGTCGGCAATGGTTGGGTTGGTGGGGGTGTTTTGTTGATTTTTAAAACTTTTATTATGGGGTTGTTTTTGCTAAGTTTTTAAATGCAGGCGGGTTATATGATCCAAATAATAATCAATATTAACAGATAATATAATAATAATAATAATATTTAATTAGAGGACAATTCAGTAATTTAAATAACATACCCGCTAATTTGTTCCTCCCAACCAAACATATTAATATAACATACCTACCAATTAACCAAACACATTTTTTTAAAGATTCTCAGTAATCTTCAAGGTAATTTAATTTTCTAGTAATTCAATATTCCCTGAACCAAATGCCCATTAAGGGGTAAATCCGTCATTTAGTTACATAAGGGTATTTCAGTATTTTAAATTGAAATTATTCTTCTCTAAGGGTATTAACGTAATTGGAAAAGTCAAAGGTCCAAAGTTCACTTATGGTAACGGAGTCTAACAGCAAATGGGATCCAAGGGGGAATTTTTCATCCTTTCCAAAAACCCGGCAGGCGATCAACACGTCCTTTTCTCTCCGGGGTATAGAAGAAAAAACCCTGCAACGTTAACTCATTGACTCCATCGGGTCATGATTATACTTGAGATAATTAATTTACTCCGCCAGAAAAAGGTTAACAATTGTCTTCTAGAATTAGTTATTCTTATTCATCCAATAAAACCTGGAAGAGAATTGCCCAGATTTCAGTTTCTCGGATTCACCAAAAAAAAATTCCGTGATTTCCAAATTTAATACATATATCAAGTGACAGCACCCATGCCATGGAGAAATTTAGAAGGAATTTATATTAATTGTTACAAGAAAGATCCATAGGCATTTTCAACTCAAGTTTTATAGAGTTAAAAAGTAGAAACTGTTAGACTTGAAATGTATACCCCGGCTAGACACCGCGTACCGTACACCATATTAACTCTAAAAAAAAAAAAAAAAAAAATGGGGGGTATCCACTGGATGAATTTCCAGGAAAAAAAATTCCATACACTATTTTCTCGCTTTTTTTTTTCTTTATCTATTAAAAATAAAAAGAAAAAAAATGATGAATGAGAAATGTGGGTGCATGTGCAAAGTGAAAGAAAGAACTGGGGAATTTACAGAAGTCAAAACTGCCATGGTATGGTTTTGATCCGAAATAATGAATCAGCTAGGACGATTGTGAATCTCTTCGTTAAGAAGTTGAGTTACCAAGAAGCGATCAGCTGCTGGCCTATTTTCATTTAAAATGCTATTAAGTGAGTGTAGTTCTGCAGCAGTTGCCTTCTTAAAAAGGCCTCTGACAATTGAATCAGCTCCAACCGGCAAGAGATGGCTCCCAGGTGAATCCCGATTATTTTGTTCCCCAGATGCCCTATCTAAGTTACTGCAATTTTGAAAAGGTTGTCGAATCTGCATTTGAGCCCGGGAGTAGGGCCGGGAATCCCAATACTCCATACAAACTCGATTATGGTCCATTGCCTCTATGGCCTGTTAAAAGAAATGAAAATTGAACCAAGTATCATATTTAATGAACATATCTCTCATAAAGTAAGAAAACTAATGAGCCATGAAATCATAGGATACAGAAATGCTTGAGCCATAGGAGGGCAAAGATGTTTGAAAGGAAGAGAAGAAAAAACAAATGAAGATTATGACAATTTTAATAGTGCTTCAAAGATACAAATTTTCATTTCACAAAGTTCGTAATAGTGGAATAACAAAGAGGAAGAAAACAATGTAGAACACTTCGTAAAGAGTCTTAAGTGATTCATGGCAGCAATAATACTCCAACCCAATTGTTTGAAAAAGAAAAGTCAACAGATCACAATGAAGGAAACAAACCAACTTCCATTATCAATTGACTTTCTGTTCAAAAAGAAGCAGGCTGTGTTTTGTTTTTAGTAGGCTTTAAACTATTTCTTGAACCTCAACTTCTTACTCAAGCGAAAATAAAAAAGACAGAGAAATAATATCTCATGTGCAACTGTAAAACATGTATAGAGTTATAGCTAATATTGACATTCATAGCCTCTAACACAAGTAATAAAGTATTGGGTGATCTTGGCTTTCAGCATAAACATTGCATAGAAGCACCTAATAATACTTCAAGACTAACTATTGTTCTCATAATGTTATTTGTCAACCCTTGTCCAGCACTCCAAATTAGAGGTCCCATAATTATCCATCAGAAGGTTTTATTCAACCCCAGATGACCCAAAAGACAAAACCTAGAATACAATAAAAAAAGAGAATAGAAGAAGACGCACGCAAAAAGAATGTCAATCGCTCAAGTACTTGCATTTGATCATATTGTCATCAGTCCTAATGGCTAATTTACCTGCACAATTGCTGGAGAAGAAAACCCAAACATTTCAAAACCATCAAGACTCCCAGGAGGCTGTAAAGGAGGAAGGTTTGTCCTTCCCAATTTATGTTGCTTTGCTATCTCTTGATTCACTCTATCTCTCACCATTTCCCAGCATCTGGCAGCAGAAATATGAATGAATACCTCACTGGGACTTTGCTCCAAGGAAACCTGAAAATTAAATGAATATGTCATGCCTCCTTGATATCAATTTATTGATTTTCTGCAGTTTAGTGAGACTAAAAGAAGAAAAGGAAAAAAAGACACACTCATAATACTTATCCCTGAGAATACACTCTCTTAGGCTAACCAAATAGTGCAGCCTTAGTTTAAAGGAGCACATGATGATATAATTCAAATAACATAATGCTGAATTATTTGTGTCAAGAGGGTTGGACTGAAATTTGATAATCAAACTATTATGATTCTTCCTTTTCTATACAAGCAAAAAGAAGCTACATAGTAGCTATGTCAGCAAGCAAAACTGGACCTTGTTCAGTAATAGTTTAGCAGTTGAATACATCAGGAATCATTCATTTAATATCTCTATTGAGTTTCTTTTATGTAAAACCATCATCAGAAATCATACACACACTGGAAAAACTACTTCCCAAGACTTCTTGCAAGAACCTTGCAGAAGAGCAAGAGTAGAATGTATATGGCATAATACATAGCATGACATAAAAGTAATTTGGGGGAAGGGAAAAAAAAACTAATTACCATAAAGAGCGGTCCGTTGCGTCCTGCATCAAGAATTTCTGAAACATAGTAACACATATTTGTTGGATCTAGAATACTTATGTACCTAACCCGGCTCCTAAATCCTGCATCAAGTAAAATAAAGTCCATAAGTACTTTTCTTCTTCATGTAGTTGACCATCTCTCTCAAAATTAATCATCTCTATAAAGAATCCATATGCTGACCTTTGGGAAATATTGCCTGGCTGTTACACCATAATTTTCCAGAAAGCACAACGCCATATTCCAGGGCTTCAACATTGCAGTTGATTCTCCGCACAACCTTTGCAATACGAGGACCTTTCTGGCGGAAATATCTGTCTATATTATTTTGAGAGCAAGATGGATTTCCTGTATTAGTTCTCATATTGCTCACTAAATTTGAGGTGGAATTTGTTCCCAACTTTTCATGAGTATCCTCATTGTTAGACTTTCCATTATCACATGCTGGAAGATGCTGAAGGTTACTCCCAACATTTGCCACATTATGACAACTGGTCTCCCCACTAATTGTGGAACCTGAAAGAATTCTACCAGATTCTTCATGTGTAGAGCCTACAGGACAGGGAACTTCTGGTGGATTAGATGCCAACAATGTTCCACCATCTGGATGATGTTCATCTTTCACTTGCACAGTATTAGATGAATAATTAATCCTTTGTACATCAGATACCGAACGCAAATCCTTTTGACTTGTTAATGCAGCATCAGTTACTGGGGAAAACAAGACTGGACCTTTATCATGATTGCATGTGCTCGCTTTATCTTCAGAAGAAGCCAATCGCTTAGAATGTTCTACATCTTTTACAGAACTTCCTGTAGATCTTTTTGAAACTGGCTCTTTTGGTTCGTCACCTTCATCGTCGCTAAGAAGTATAACAGTATTATTTCCGAAAACCGAAGGCTTATTTAATAAAGATTTCTGGTCAGATTGATCTGCATTATATGACATATCTTCTTGAGAGAACTGACAAACAGGATGTCTTAGACTGGAAGCCAAATGGATAGATTCTTCGGTCTTTATTTCAATTCCATGAGAAGATTTGTCAGATGTAGACGATGTTTTCATGTCTTTCAAAGGCAAGATAGCTTCTGATGGATTATTATTTTGTTGAAATGACATTAAACCAAATATCCTAGCTTCTGATGGCTGGGATTTCACCTCTTTATGTTCCTTGCTATCAATGGAATGAGATAAATTATCAACTTGCATATTGTCTCTGGAGAAATATGAACTCAGGGCCAGTCCAAGATCTAGTCTTGCCCATCTGTAAACTGCACTTAATTTCCCTTCCAATGCCTCAACAAGGATGTTCAATTCACTGATGTCATAACGAAAGAGGAAAAATTTGGCACCCCAAGCACATGAGCAGAAATTCTTTGCATGATTCAAACAGGCATATTTATCAGAGGAACAACGACAACCCACCGCAGACAGGTGCAAGTCGAAAAGGCATACGCTGCATTCCCTCTCACTAGTGGCATCAAAATTACGGTCCATTTTCATTGCTGGTGAAGAACTGCAAAAATATTCCCTCCTCACACGCTCCATTTCTACACGGGTCTAAACAGCAGAAATAAACAAAATCAAGAGAGTAAAGTGATATGTAGGTGTGCATATTTGTCTGTGAAGTGTATGCTTTTGGAAGTAAAAGATTTAGTAAGTCCAGAGTTAATATTCCAGGTTTTTATGTGAAAATCATAAAAACAATTCGACAAATTAAACTAATATGTAAAAACAGTGAAGCCACCTTAACCTATCAGAGCCAAAATTAAGCTGCCAAATGATATCTTGATTTTCATCCACCACTTAATTAATACACTGTTATGCATTTACAGTAATATATATTTGATGAGTAGTGCCACTGTATCCCAAATTTTCCATCTCAAAAGATAATTCTTCCTATGGGCACTGATTTGTAAATGATAAAATGATTTGTAAATGATAATTTTCTTAGAGGTAACTCTGTGTTTGCTGTTACTCTAGATATCTTGCTCGGAGTTACTTTTAGCATTGGCATACTGGCTTTAAAAAGTTCCAAATTTCTACTTAGTTCTTTCACAAGTATTATTTCAACTATAATATATCTGATATAAATAAGTCCAATCAAGAAAAGAATAAGAGAGGCAAAGTTGACCTTAAGTGCTCTTGCCAAGATTCCATCCTTTCCACACAAATCTTTCCACCTTAGGTTATCCAAATTATTCTTCTTCAGTAAATTAAGCTCCCAATGAGCTCTTACAGCTTCCCTTGCAGCCCCAAGCAAAAGTTTATCATGGGAGATGGAAGTTTTACGCCCCTGCTCACGGTATAGCTCTATAGCAATCTGCCCATGGGGCAACCAGTCAACAGGAGCTACATTTACTGCCTCCGCACAATTGAAGCCGCAGTTGAATCCTGAATGATATGCTCGAGGGAAGGTCAGAACAAATTCTCCAGCGTTCTGAACACAGCGATAGACAGGCACTCCTTCAGATTTCAGTATGGAGGGGGAAAGCTGTGTGACCTGCATGAAAGAACAAGTTCAGGCTGACATGCAATATAGAATCATATATATGAAGATAAATGACTGGGAAGCATAAAAAATTCCTAAGCTTATTTCTCAATTAGAGAATTCTCACTTGATGATTCAAAAATGGCAGGTAGTTTTTGGAGGCCATATTGCAAATCCTATTTCAGTTGGTTTGATTTACAGTCCTTAATTTTTATTATTTCAATTATTACGTATGATATATAAAGCAGACATTCTTGTAAGATTCAAATTTTTGTAGGACTACGACCCAAGGAAAGATTAATACTGTGATATTGATCAAAGGAATAGACCTCAAGTTTGTTTATCACCTAATTGGTGTTAACATGTAAAAGGGAGGTGGAGATCATTCAGCATTTATTTCTTTATCCATTGCTAAAAAACCATAGCCTAAACTTTTTAAGGCAATGAAACCCTTCTCGTTCAGCTTCCAGCATCTCACTTTTGATTCAGAAACATTATACCTTTGGTGGGATTGTAAGGCAAAAGTTTTATGGAGTTGTATATTGAAAGCAATGTTTTGAGTTATTATGCAAGAAAGCAAATAGCAGAATTTTCAAGTACCCTTTGAAGAGGGAGCTCATTTTCTAACAGACTAAATATAAGTACACACAAAAGCATCAGCAAAGAAAAGGGGGAGGAACAAGATAGATTAAAATGCACCACATATAAAGAAAAGAAAGAGGAACCAAATCATAAACCATAAAGAACTATAGCTAAGAGGAACAATGTCAATAGCATTTGCTGAAGACACATGAGAGACCAATTCCAAAATGAGTCTGCAACATGTACAACTAGGCATTTTAAAATTAGTAGGATTCAGCTTTCTATCCCCAACTAAACTAAATAAAATAAAAAACGACTTATGCCTTCCCAAATTACTCAACAAACATAAATGTGACAGAATGTTGTGCATGCAAGCATGCGTATATCATGCTTCTAGAAAATTAAATTCATTATTAGGCTTGATAGCACTAAAAAACATTGTGACATAGGACATGAATATTTACTTACTAGTTTATGAAGCAGGTCAGGCTGTTCTTCAAAAAGATCAGGCAAATGCTTTCTCATAGCCTCTTCCAATTTAAGGGCATTGTTTCCTGGAACACCATACCAAATTTTTGGAGCACCCCAATGCATGTAATTTAGTGAGTACAAGTGATGATCTTCGACATGCTGTTCTCCCACATGTAAACAAAAGGTACAACTAAACAATCAGCAACATTGAAATCTAGAACAGATTAACAAAATTATGGCTTCAGATTTAAGCAACCTTATATTTTGATGCAAACAAATAAATGAGTTAATTCATCAGGTAAATTTATTTTGGATGCAATAATCTGATTGAAAGTTGGAATTTGTCATGCTAGAGCATAAAAGTTTACAAAAGAAAAAACAACATTCATTTCATCCAATAGAAAAAAACTTTAGGCATTCTTACCCAACAAAAGGAGGAAAAACACATCCCTATATACAACCATGGCACAAGAACACCAGATATATCACCGCTTTCATAAGTGAGGACAGATCCAGGAAGCCGTGGAAAGTTATTCAAGTTCCAGCCTGATTTTATGTACCACTCATCTGAAGCAGAACCAACTTGAATAGGCATTTTAGGAAACCCACTACCAAAAACCCCAGTTTCCAAATCAGCCCCATATAGGACCTGCACAGGAAACAAGCACAACAATTAAGGGCTCAGTTTCACAAACTCTTTTGAGAAAAGATGATGAGATATCTGATAAGCAAAACAAGGACACAGCAAAGAAGCAAATCAATTAATAATTATAAACCAGAAAACCGTGACAACTCACACGTCATACCTCTATTTCTTCAGTTGCTTTCTCAACTATCCGCCAATATTCCCCCTCAATATTCTCCACTGATGGCTCCCGGTGCTCTTGAAGCATAGTTACGTTAACTCCCATATTTTGAATATCATTCCTATTGCTGCTAAAGTATTGGGCCTTGAAAAAATCTGCATATTTCTGAAATTTATTCAGAGTAAACTCTGGACCAGGTTCAAACCCAAATCTCTCATCACCAGATCCAGGGACATTGCCGCTATCAGTTCCACAATCCACAGCCATTTTCGTGCATCTACGCCTTTTTCTCCTAGTATGGTTTTGGAACTTTGACATCTTTCTCATTGAATGCCGATTCTGAAGTTTGTCAACCCTTTGCACACGGGTTGCAAATGTAGAACCCTCCCATTTATGTTTTTCTTTAAGTGGACAAGGAGGTTTCCAAGAGGGTGGGGGAACAATCCGACAAATTCCATATGGTTCAGCTTTTGGACGAATGCTAGCTATATATTTCAACGTATCTTCAAATTCCTGGAAAAAGGATAAAACCACTTCAGTAATCTAAATTCTGATGCCAGATTTCGCAAGAAGTAGGTAGAATGCCAGCTTTTGTATTCAAATAACTCAATTGCAGAAAGCAATAATAGAGACCTCTGCAGTAGGATAGAATACAGGAGCATCTTCAAGGACAGGCCTGCGAGCATCTTCTGGACGCCATCTTGCAATGACCTGTTCCATAAATCAATTACAGACTATAGAAGACGTAGGACAAGAAAGGGGACGCAATATATCAAAAACAACGTCAAGACTGCAAGGTTCAGCTACCCTTATGATCACCAGCCAAACAGCAATCATGGTACAAAACCAGCCCAATGAAAAATTGTCAAATACTTTGGAGCAATTCATAAGTAATTGCTTCTATTAATATATTGCACACAGACTGCCTTAGGTTGATGAGGCAATGATAATAAGATAGGAAAGAATAAAAGGGGATCTTAGTGGTGTAGCAATATTGATGAGCTAGACTGCATAAAAAGTATGTGGTACAGAAGTTTTAGAAAATAACCTTTTGGCAATCACTACACCCTGGACATCCACGGATAACACCCTTAGGAAGACAAGGCTTAACACTAAAATTCTGCATTAATAAACATTAAATATGTCACTATCAAGACATGTAGAACTCCAGAAATGAAAGTACAGGTTATATTGTTAAATTCAGGTTAAAAAAAAAAAAAAAAAATAGAAAACCAGAACTTTTAAGAGGAAAAATTCTAATAACATTACTTGACCAAGCTTCTCGGAATCAGGTTCATCATCTGAACTATGATCAAATTGCAAGTAGTTTATCCATGGTCTACGCCGAAGGGACCTCGTCTTCGCACCATCAGAATCACCAATATCAGTTTCTACCTGAACTTGCTGTGATCCAGAGGCACTTCCAGAAGCAGAGCAACTGCTTTTAATGTCACTATCATGTTTTTCATTATCTTGTACCTGTTTTAAGGTGAAAGATGCATATGACTCAAAACCTGGCGGAACTGATGGAACGTCATCATTCTCTTCTTTAACGCAAACTCTCATGAGTTCCGTCCCCATTTTCTGTAATATAAAGACAATAGGTCATATTATCAATAAATCACAATTTAAAGATGAAAGTGAATTATTTAAGTTAAAATCCAATACATAGAATAATGGCCCAACCAAAGGCTTATAACCTTGCAGTATAACAAAGTTTATGTACAACTCCATGGTAGCTAGTGCAAAATCTAATATCTTCAAAATTGCCAATAAAAAGATTATAATAGATGATTATGGTTAAAATTAGCTATCTAGTTCACAGTCTATACTAAATACATCATGCTACATTGTTATCTTCTACTGCACATAATTGATAATCCATGGACAACCATAATTTGGAAGAAAAAAAATGTATGATTTCAAAAGGTGTACAAACACTACAATATGCTTTGCTCTAACCAATAAGCAAATATTTGATAGACAAACTGATACTTGGCTCTATCCTAGAGCAGAAGGAAGGGGGAGGAGGGAGGGGGAGAGAGAGAGAGAGAGAGAGAGAGACAGAGAGAGAGAGCGCATAGCATTAATTTCATAAATTAACTTCATGAATAAGGATTGATACCTATTCCAGAATTTCTTCCCTCCCCACCCTGAGGTACTACCTCTTTTAAACAAAATACATACAAAGGTCTATTCCTTACAACTATAAACATCTGCAATGAAGCAGCAATCTGAAGAAAAATTTCAAGAGAAGGAAGATCCTAATTACTTATAGGTTTCTTCATCCAAAAGACCGATGGCATGTAAACCTGAATATAACCTTTCACATACTTCAGCATCTTCTGCCTTAAAGGGAAACATTAGAATGCTAATATCTACTTAGCCTAGAGATCATTTCAACCATCACCATTAAAATTTAACAACTCCATGCTCAATCATCACAACAAAATCTCACAGGTATCTTGTATTTCCCATTTTCAGCTTTACAACAGTAAACCATCACATAAACCATGAAAAGCAAAGTAATGTATTTAGTGTTAATAAATCAAATATTTTAATTATCATGCCAATTTAAAGGGCAGATTCACTATTCACCTATCTTCTGGGAATATCTATTTAATTCGATTTTTTGTCTTCTAAAATAAAGATTTGAATGAATATCCAAGATGTGTTTGCAGCTGAGTCCAGATTCACAATACAGATCACGCCCTTGATCTAAAAAATTCAACTAAATTCTTCCATCAGAAGACCTAATGCATAATCAATTTGACTGTAAACAAGTTTTTCATAAAACTCAAGTGAATTTCATCATCACATACATGCAAGATCAGCCAATCTAACCATAATAATTAATTTAAAAAACCCTAAAATTACAAATGCATCACTGAATACCCACTGAAATCAGGTAAAATTACATAAAAGGACAAAATTAACAAGAAATTAAGAAATCAAAAGAATACAAATTTTGGGCTTACAGGGTCCTGATCCAAGAGTCTGCAATTTTCAGTTTACTCAATCCAGCTCAAACTCCATTAAATACACCCAGAATTAGAATAAATTAACAAAATTAGGAAATTCAAAAAATCAACCTAGAAATATTAAACCTCAAACCCTTCTTTCAAAATCCAAGAAAAAAATCTAAAAATAATAATCAATCAGATTATTATCAGAATTCAGATCTAATCCTAACCCTAAACCAAAAACCCAGATGGTCTGAATAGCTACAGAAAAAGCTATGGCTTCAAAGGGGTACCCCACAAATCCACGTATGACAAACAAAACAATACCAACTTTCTAAATCAATCAAACAAACCCTAGAATTCTAGAACAAAATTTTGGGTCTTCAAAATCTCAAATACAAATCCCAATCAACTACACAAGGAAGATAAGGGCAAATCTGGAACAAAATTTGTGGGTCACTGCAATCAACAGAGTTTACAGCAAAAATTAAAATCTTAAAAAAAAAAAAAAAAGTTCTAGAAACTCCAGCCCTTAACCAAAAATAAAAATAAAAGGAATTTTGTAATCTTCTGTGTTTTTCTTTTTCTTATTTTTAATATTTTTTTAGGTTTAGAAACTTAGAATAGAAATAAATATTTACCTTTTATCAAAGGGCAGGCTACCTGTCTTACTGCCTTAATTATGTCCCCAGTTTTCTGTTTTATGGAAAAGTCAAAATCATATGTTAGTAGAAAAGGGCAAATTTGGTGATAAAAAAAAATTAATGTAAAAATATTTAAAATGTTTAGAGAAAGAGAAATTGAAAAAAACGTGAGATATTGAAATTACCCGGAGGATTGGGTTGGGTGGATTGGTTTGGTTTGGTTTGGTTTTGTAATTTAAAAATCGTTGTTGCGTGAAGGAAAGAGCGTGGCGTGGAGTGATTTGTAGAGAGTGGAGTAATGGGATAATTTAGTAAAAGTGGGGAATTAAATATCTATTTCTACGGGCGGCCCCGCCCCATGGATTTGGATTTGTATTTGTAATTAGGCTGTTTCCTCTTTTTCTTGTCAAGGATGCGTGTTGCGTGTGAGCTCTCTTTCTTTTTTCTTTTTTCGGTGATTGTGCTCAAACACATTTTCTAATTTATCATCCACCACTATATATATATATATATATATATATACATGGAAGTTATTCAAACCTATTTATATATACCTCGATTAATCTTTAAAGATCTTAAAATTAACGATTAGATAAATCTTTCAGTAATCATTACTATCAATAATCGAAGAAAATCGAACTAAAAATCTCTTGAATTATGTAGTGATAGAAGTTGTTCGAACCTGTTTATATACACCTTGATTAATCTTTAGAGATCTTAAAATTAACGATTAGATAAATTTTCTAGTGACCATCCCTATCAGTAATCGAAGGAAATCGAACTCAAGATTTTTTGAATAATATATCTAAGAATCTCTATCACTTTATCTGACCACCCAAAGATGGTTACACCGTTTATATTCTTATATTTTCTTATTTTAATATAACAGTTGTCTTGTCGTATATTTTAAGAAAATATATTACAATACTAAAAGAATAAATATTAATTTATGTTGATGTTATTATATACAAAAGGCAAAAAAATAATTTTTAAAAAATTGCAATACCTTTTGCTTTCTAATATTCTTAAGGTATCATTAATCTAATAATTAATATTCTTTATGAACCGTATTGAAATTAAAATTGTTTAGATTTTTTTGGCCATGTTTATAGACGGTATGAAATGTTAGTGTCGGCTAAGACATGTTACACGTCTCTATGTGTTATCTTCGATTTCAATTTAAATTCATGTGATATTTATTAACATATAAACTGAGTTGGTATATAAATGATGTGGTACGTTGCATAGTATAAATTATTTGAGACGAAAAATATTGAATAAAATTTGTGATGTGTAAGACTTTGTAATTAAGTTTCGATTTTTGAAGAAAGTATTAGGTATACAATCCCATGTGAATAGATTATGCCACTAGGTAAATTGATGTGAAAAACCATTGAATTTTGTTATCTTACATGATTTAGAAATTTCATGTGTATCTTATGCATAGGATAATAAGCTATTTATTGCATATTTTCTCACAATATTATTATTATTATTATTATTTTTAAACAGGGTGTTCGGGTCAACTTGCATGCACCTTAACTAATCCCTACAAATGCGTTTTTTTTTTTTTTTTTTTTTATGATTGAGGGTATCGGGTCAGCTTGTACACACCTCAACTAGTTCTTTGAGATCCTAAAACTATCGACCGGATAAAAGCTCCTTGTAGCTGCACTTACAATATCATTTTTTTATGAGTAGGGTATCATGCCAGCTTACATACACATCAACTAATCCCTTGAGACCCTAAAATTATCGACCAAATAAGAACTCTAGCGACCTCCCCTATTAGTAATCGAGGTGAATCAAACTCATAACCTCTTGAGTAATATAGCAAAAAATCCTAGTTGACCACTCGACCACCAGAAAGTATGTATATGACATGATGTGAAATGTACTATTTGTTATGTGTACAAATGATATGCATGTTTCAGCGGCCTAAAGAATACTACAGATCTTATTGTGTTATCTTCAATTTCGATCTAAAAAAAGGTATGATTCAGTTAAATAACGAGTTAATGTACAAATAATGTGATTATGTCATGTAGCATATATGTCATTTTGGGAGAGAGAAATTAAATAAAACTTGTGACGTGTTGTATTACGTAATTATCATTCAATTTCGAATAAGAGTTAGGTGTACAAACATTATTATCAATATAGCTATTGATAAGTAATTATCAATCTACTTTTTTTTTTTTTTTTTTTTGGGTATAGGGGAGTGTCTGGACCAGCTTACATGCATCTCAACTAATCTTTCGGAGATTTAAAGTTAACGGTCAAATAAGCTTCCAGTGACTATCTCTTGTTAGTGAATGTAGAGATTCGAACTTAAGATCTCTTGAGTAATACACCTAAAAGTCTCAAACGAACTGTTAAACTATCTAGAGGTAGTTATTTTTCTTTATGTTTTGATAAAAGGATTTGGGTACCTTATCCTAAAATTATAATTCTATTATAATATATAATCCTAGAAAAATACTTATTTTTTATAAATTTTGTAATTTGTCAAAAATTGTAACCTATTTACCCTATCATTCTAAATGTCTCGTATAAATTAGGGGAATGTTGGTAATTAATATATCCATTTATTGCCTCAAAATTAGGAAGAAGATTTGATTGGAACAATTAGAAGATTGGGGATGTCAAATTTCATGATAATTAAATGAAAATTATACTCATAAAATTTATTAAAAAATAAATAAATTAAATATGTTACATATAATATATAATCACATGACATATGGAGGAAGTATTGGTGTTTAAATTAGCAAGGTAACTTTGGGTGATCAAGTGATTCAATAGAGACTCTTGGGTGTATTACTCAAGAAGTCATAAGTTTGAGTCCCTTTTCAGTTGCTAATAGGGATAGCCATTAGAACTCTTATTCGGTTGATAGTTTTAGAGTTTCGTGGATTGATTGAGGTGCGTAAGCTGACTCAGACACTCCAAATCATTAAAAAAAAAAAAAAGAAAAAAAAAAGTTGTTATAGGGGGGTTAGGCTCTTTATTTATCACAATTTAATAAGTCTAGGTCTCTTTAGCCCTCCTCCTCGTGAAATAATAAATTTATAGTTGGCCAAAATTTTTCAACATTAACTATGTCTTTTAATAAGTTTGAAATAATTGCTTAAATTATTTATATTGTATTAATTGCATTTAAGAATTTTGAGCATTTTAATTAACTTTTTTCTGGGTTGTTTAACAGAATTTTATTTTCGAGTGAGCTAACAAAAATTTTATTAACAAGTGTTTGATAAATTAAAAATTAAAAATATTTATAAGAACGAACATATTTTTTATTTATTTATAAAATCAATATAATTTTAGAATTTATAAAATTAAAATAATTTTCTCTAAAATTTGAATTCGACCATGGTTGCTCGTTGGGCTCCAATATATATATATATATTATGATCAGAGGTGTTTGAGTCAGCTTTAGCGTATCTCAACTAATCCTTCGAGACTTTAGAACTATCCCTGAGACCCTAGAACTATCGATTGGGTAAGAGTTCAGTGGTTACTCCTATTAGCAACTGAGGAGGAAATCGAACTCATGACCTCTTGAGTAATACACCTAAAAGTTTCTATCAAACCACTCGACTATCTTGAGGTAGTTGGCTCTAATATTGTTTCTTAAACTTATTTCATATGTGGTATAATGTTCAAAAGCTATTCTTATTTTTAAATTGTGAAATATAAGAGAATTTTCAATGGTAGTATTCGATATTTAAATTAGGTTTTAAAATTGTATATGAAAGCTGTTTTTGTTTTAATATTTTAATTCTGAGAGGAATTTTATTTTTAATAATATTCAACATTTGACTTGTGCAATGTATCACGTGTGTCGTGTACATAAATCTATTGGATGAAGATGAATTACAAAAGCATTTTAAATGTTCAAATTCTGAATGGTTTATCCAACCACCCATGAATCAGGAAAATTAAATTTCATCCCAAAAGTTTGGGCTAATTAAAATTTGAGTTTAGTAGAATTTTTTAGTAACATTGTAGTCCTTATCTATAAGATGAAAATACCCTCACACAATTTAATAAAAAGGAAATTTCATCAACAAGCAGGAATCATATTGTTGCTACAAAATTCTACTAAACCCAAGGCTCGAGGACGAAAATTAATTTTCGTTGCTAGCATCCCATGATTAAGATATAGAGTTAACGATTTTTTCCCACCAAAATAATGACTAATTACACTTTTCTACCCAAAAAGTTTCAAAATACAATTTTACTACCCAAACATTATATTCCGATAATTATTTCTGTTAAACACAATGATATTCATTGTAATAACAAAAATACCCTTCTCTCTTCTTCTTCTCTTCTCTTCTCTTCTCTTCTCTTCTAAGCCTCCATTGTGGCCAAAACCACCACTTGCCAAATTAGGTCAGATTTGGCCTGATTCTGGCACCACTGCAACCCTTCGACACTTCCATCAAACTATTCACATCACCCACACCAAAACCCCTCTCGCTCTCACATCGGTGCACCCTCCAATTGTCGGCCGCGATTTCCCATCTTCAAAGCTAGATTCCAGTCGATTTTTCCATCAAAAATCACCAATGCCACCACCATTCGAACCCCCATCATCTCCTCAACAAAACCCATCCACCCATTGACTGTCCCTAGTCACTGTTTGTAGTCCAAGAACCGTACTTGCCATCTCGCGACAGTTGCGTTTTATGACACCAACAGTTGCTTGTAGAGTTGGTTTGATAAAAAGATTAGTGGGAGATTGCTGTGTGTATTGAGAAGTGTTGAATTGGTTGAGTTTGTAGGTGAATTTTCTAGTTTTTCCCCCTTCCCCAACCTTCACCGCAA